AAATGCAAAAATAATCGGAAGCAGTAAGTATTTTTAAAAGATTTAAATATTTTACTCAGAAACGCATGCGCATAGTTCTCCCGCGCTCATAGTCACGGCTGAATAATTTTTGTGTTTAGAAGATGTTTGGTCATTACAGTCTGACTGATTAAATATAACTTTATAATAGCTGTCTTAATAACATATGTAAAAATCAAACATGAAAAAAAAGTAAAGTTCCTTTAGTTTTCGCGGAGCTTTGATAAAGTCTATCTTTATCAAAGATCCACTTTTTGACTTGCCTGATAAAAGTTCAGGTCCATGGAAAGTGTCTAATACTTTTGATACTATTTATACTAATACTTTTGATACTATTTTAGTAGTTAGAAATTGTCTAATACTTTTGATACTATTTTAGAGTAATATTCTACAATATTTATATAAAAATCAGTTATACAAATTTAAGTAAAGTAAACGCCACGAATGTTTGGGAGTGATTCATCGCTTGATGAAGTTAGAATCGACACGCGCGCTATCTTTTTACATTAAAAACGTAAATTTTTACCGCAGACGTAGGTTTTTAAAGGCTCGGTTTAATCATCTGCCTGCGCTCCTCCTACTTATTCTAAAATGTTAGCGTGACTGACAAAGACGATACTCTATCGCGTTTCTTTGATTGGTTCGTTTTTGTGCGTCAGTCCATTGGTGTGCTTGCAGTGCGACCAATGGGGCATTCCAGTTTATATTTATAACCAAATATATGTTTTGACAAGACTTTGACAGTTAAAACAACAAATTACAATAGGTTATATATTTATTATTATATGACTTGAAACACCACGGCACTGGAATTAAGTTTTATGTGACCTTGAACATGTTAGTTCACATGGTAACGACCGATGAATCACTCCCAAACATTCGTGGCGTTTACTATAACTCTTATTTTTAGTTATCTTTCCCACCCAGTATCTGCCAAGGTCACAGGGCGCACACGCCGGTACTAACACGCCGGTATTCAAAGCACATGAGAGCACTACTGAGAGCATAAGGTTTCATTCTTGTGAAAATAAGTTCTGTCAGATCGCTTTGGGATCTTGGACTATTTCTTCAGAAGAAAGCACAATATGAAATGTAACAATAACGACTATTACAATACAATGCACAATGCAATAGCAACGCTAGTATTGCAACTCAGTAATTGAGAACTATTGAATTGCATATTAACATGAAACAATAACGGTTAACATTTATTTACATATTTGTATAGAATTGAGAAAAAAATTATACTCATTTTGCCCGTGACTTGGTTCACAAAATACTCAGTACCCATCACGGCAGATCTGATAAGCAAAGACTGTCAAAGCTATAGTGAATCTACTAACAGGGTATTGTAAGCGTAATAGACACTTGTCTTTTTTTTTGCACAGGATTTTGCCAATCTGAAGATAAAACGGCAGAATACATTTTATGTCAGTGCGACACCCTCGCAAATCTTTTTACTAGGTAATAATAGGTTATTGACAAACAGATATAAGGAGGGTTCAGTCTCAAGTTGCTAGACTTTTTGAAAATGATAAGAGTGCTGAAATTGAATGAAAGCTGAAAATGCTGCAATGAAGCGGGCGATAACCATGGCTAAAAACGAATTTAAGTACACTTTGTTCAATGAATACGTTTTTTTTAAATTTACGCTATTTTCAATGGATTTTTTATGGACAACCCGGGCTTCCGACCATTTTATGTTATGGTGCTGGGACCACAGATGATCTCCAATGCCTGATTTCATTGTTTCACCTCTTTGGTATGTCTTTTATATTCGTCAAGACGTACACGTAGAGGACATTTTGTCTCTCCAATACACAACTCACCGCACTCGCAAGTGTACCTTGTAAGTGTACCCAGACTTAAAAACAGTTTTAATTTTATATTGCTTAGCTATTCGCCTAACTTCTCCAGTGTTTCTTTCACATATGGAATCATCAAGACAGAGAGAGAGCATCCACCTCAGGCTGGTGCACCAATGAGTCAGACTTGCAATTGGATATAATATTGTCTAGGGTTTTTGCAGAGTATCAATTCTGAAGCAAATCCATTTTAAGATTATTTAGTTCAGAATTCAGAGATTCTTGGTCACTGCATAAGTGCATATAGGTAGTGATTACTCGATGACAATGTTTCAACTATGCCTCCTTTGGTTGCTTCAGAATGGTTCGACTGAGAATTTAAATGAACGAACCCCATTGGAAAAAGCGTAAATTTAAAGAGGCCGTATTTATATCTAATATCTAACAATACTAAATCTTTAGTAGAATAAAATCTTTAATAGTCCAAGTATAGAAATTTCAACAATATGGCAACCACCAGGGTCTATTTTTCATATGGTCGGGCCCTAAGACCCAAGCAAAAATTCGGGTCCTTTTTTCCAATAAAATTCAAAAATTCAAGAAACTATGAATACTTTACAACCTTTAACGGGCCCCCCAGACCACCGGGCCCAAGGCCCGGGCCTTATGGGCCTTATGGTAAAATAGGCCCTGGCAACCACTCATAAAACGCTCCACTGCAGGTATGGACAACCTCATGCTTGACTGCAAACAACGAAAAATGAACATGGTTAAATTGGGGCAAAGTTGCGTTTTGGGATGTTCACCAAGATGCCATCAAAAAAGTTTTAAAAATTTCAAGAATTACTGAGTTTTTTGGAAAAAACGGATTTTTTTAAAATTAATTTTATTTTTACTACTACGAGAGATGGCACATGTTTTTTGAAACACCCTGTAGGTACCCAAAAACCATTAATAATAATAATACCATACTTTGTTTTTAAACAAAAGCTTAACGTATCGTAACAATATTGATAAGCTTTCAAACTTAACAATGACGTGGGGTAAAACATTGAATATGGAAAATGAAATGCAATAAAATATTAAAAAATAATATACAAATGAATACATTACTTCACGACATTTGTAAAGGTGAAATCAATACATCTCAACATTTACAATAAAGAGTACAAAATGCATTCGCAAGTATAAGAAGAAACTTCAAAGAGCTATAAATAAAATTGAACAAAAAATAAATTTGTACAATAGGGAGGTTGGTAACCCTTTCGAACATTAGAAACTAGTTTGTAGAAGTTAATTTATTTATAATAATTACGATTAATATTGCGCATATTCACAATATAAAAAGTTAAAAATAATATCTTTAAATTGTTGACCTGGATATAATTTATTTGAATCTTCCAATTGGCTCGATTTTCCTTATTCAATGTTAATTAGCGCTGATCAATATTGTTGCGATGAATATAATCAGATTAAATAATTTAAAAAACCAGAGTCGGACTTGAAATTAGTTTAAATAATAATTAAATAGTTTTGTTGTTGTTAAGGTATCCCAAAACAAAAAAAAGTATAAAGTGTGTCATATCATTGCACTCAGGAGACTGAGTTCTTTCAAAACCGGAAATAAAAAATGCAGGTCTGTATTTGAAAAAATTGAGTTGGCCTCTGTATCTCACAAATTATCAGCTAATTTGAAAATCTAAAAATACCATCAGATAGTCCTAATAAAGTGGCTATGAGAATGTGCAATTAGTTTTTTTGATTTTCTTAAAAAAAAACGACAGAAAAAAATAAAATTCATTCTCAAAAAATGCGTTTTTTCCAAAAAACTCAGCGATTTTTAAAACTTTTTTGATGGCATCTTGGTGAACATCCCAAAGAGCAACTTTGCTCCAATTTAACCATGTTCGTACCTATTACGGTTACCGAGATACCAATGCTCGTACCTCGAATTTGTAACACCCGGTATATAAGCTCAGTAGTTTTAGGATTTAGATTAGTTCACTCTTGATAACGGTCAGTGATTCTTCTCACCGAGACGTTGTTTAAGCAAAATAAATAAAGACAATGGAAGTCCGAAATTCTTTTAGTTTCAATTCAAATGTATTAACGAGACTTAGGAAATGAAGAAAATTATAATAAATCTAAAGATTATTAATACTTTTATTAAGTAGTAGCTATGAAACAAAGCAGAGGACCTATGTTGATATGAAAAATAAATCTTATTTTTATGTGAGGAATCTCTCCACGAGGGATGGCACATGTTTTTTGAAACGTTGCGTTGTTTGTTAAGTTTTTAGTTTGGTTTCATTCATAGGATTCGGTATTTACTGCAGTATGATGATACTACCATGATTTTTATTTTATTTTGTGCAGAATTACAAATATTTGTGTTTTGTTCTTTGATTAATAATATTAAATATACTTTGCCTACTTATCTTAATCTGATCTTTGCGAATTTTATTTATATTTTGGCATAGGCCTGGTATTATTTTTGAAATGCTTTGCTTGGAAACTTTGAATAAATAACCCAAACTACTATGTGAGTCTCTAGTTGTAAAGAATCTTAATGTTATGGCCAATCATTATTTAACTCTTTCTTTAACCGGAATACACTTCCTAAAAGTTGTATTTTTCCTTTCTATACGGGGGCCAACTAAGTTAATAAGTATTTGAAAATCAGTAGCGGACATGCGATAAAAAATATTAAAAAACATTATGTCGCCTTTTTTCTCTTTGTCTCCGTGGTTTTGCAATAATGATCGAACTAGCAGCCGCTATTAAAAAATACTTCGGTATCATCCATGTCCGAACAGCACGAACGCAAGCACTACATTACAATGTGGACGCCGTTGCTTGCGAGCCGAAAGATCTTGAGAAACACTAGAAACAGGAAGCGCAAGCAATGCAAGCACAATGAGAAGCAAGCTCGCGAGAAGGAACAACAGTAATGTGAACGTACCTTAACATAAACTCAGAAAAGCTCAAATAAATCTGTAAAAATATCTAAAAAATATAAAAAAGATTCAAATATTTCAAGCGAAACTTAAACAAAACTGTCAAACATTGACTACTGTAAATGTTAAAGCAAACTTGATCACAAAACTTTTTGATTTTACAGTTTATGTAGAAATCCTAGCACATTTGATTATTACAATAAATTATAATCTTTTCTAGCACAACCATCCGAAGCAGTTTGCCGGCCACCATCAGCGATCACAGTCGCTGAACAGGGGAGTCCGTGAACAGTGGAGTGGCCGAGGAGCAGATTTTGGCGGTGGTGACATGTGGTGACAGCAACGGTGCCAGTGCCCTGCAGGGTCTTCACAGTGCCAAGGCATGGGCAACAAGTTGAGTTGCTCCTGCGCTCCGCTCATTAGAAAGGTACGTTTAAATCAGGATCTACATTTTTTACATGTACAGTGTACAGGGTGTACCCACTAAAAATAGCTCTCGGCTGTATCTCGGAAAGTATTAGTCGTAGGGCTTGCGGAAAAAAATATTTGTAACTAAAAAGACCATGAGAAATTATTGAAAGTTATTTTCAAGTTTGTAGGACGGCCGTTAGAGGGCGTAACTGTTATGGAAAATTACGAAATAGAATTTTTAAGAAATTTTGCCTGGATACGATGTACTATATATAATAGCTTCTTAATCTTTAGTAAATTTTGGATCTTTTTGTTAGAACCATTTTCTCCTATCTGCTAAAATAAAGTGGTGGGTGAAGGTTAGATCTATTTTTATTTAAATGTTAATAACCCCGGACTGGCTGATCGGAATCCAACAAATGAGAGCTCGTTTAAAAGAGCGCTTATATTTTACCACATAATTATATCACATGCCACATAAACAATAAAAATAACCTTTTGAACGTAGATGCTAGGGGGCGCTGCGAGGGGTAAACCGCAGGAAAAAACGTGTACACTAATTCCCAAAATTTATACTAATTCCCCAATAATTCCCCTAATTCCCAATTAATTCTTCTAATTCTCCAACTAATTCCTCTAATTCCCAACTAATTCCCCTACTATTAGTAATTTCCTCACCGAATAACTTACGTAAATTAGGCCACACATGATGGTAAGTTATTCAACAAATGTCTATAGTGTTTGCTGTAGATATAACCCTCGGTTTTGAAATAAAAAAAAAACTCTAAACAAAACACCTTTTTTTATCAAAAAACATAAAAAAGTTAAAAAAACTGTACAGATTTCTTGTGGAATATTATGATATGATCGAACAAAAATAAACGGTTATTGTTTTTTAAATGTTTCATATCTTCTCATGATATTTAGTTGATCTCTCCGCTTCAACTAGAATGGGCCATCACCAATCAAATTTATAGGATCAAAAAGAATACATTTTTTATGAACGATATCGGTGCCTTCCTTCTTGGGCCAAATAAAACTGCCGAGCTCTGCTTTCAGAAACTTGTTTATAATTTGGATTTCTCCTATCTTCAATAATTCGACCAATAAACCACGACTGGTCATAGAAAACCGCGTAATCGTTTTCTATGTGTATATCGAGTCCATCAGTTTCCGATAAATTGGAGGGAAGCATTCTATCTGAAAACTCTTCCGAATCATCGGAGTCGTCGAGTTCCATCACGTCCGAATCAGTTGAGAAATCAATCGTGCTATCAGCTTGATCCATAGGTAACTTCTGTTTAGATTTTCATTGCCAAGGGCAACTGACACTTCTTAGAAGCTGTTTTTTCTGTGTTTTGCTTGCACTTCCTATGAATCTTTTCAGTCGGTCAGTACTCACTCTACCATTAGACTGATCTAAAAGCCAGTAGTACGATGACTTTTTAATAATCGAAGATTTCTTGCCAAGAGTGAGTTTTATATACGGTGATATTTTCGATATGCTATGTACTTTTTGAGAAAAATCTTTTAAACTTATGAAACTTGTTTCCAAAGAATCATCACATTCGCGATTAGGGATCTCGTCGTTAGAAATTGAGTCCGCAACCTTGTCCATAATTATACAATCTTCATTATTGACACAATTTGCTACATCTTGGTCAATTACATTTTCCTCGGAGTTTTCGTTAAGTTCAACATCATCTTTGTCAATATCTTCGTTGTCCTGTCCTTTATTCCTCGGTCTAGTAAATAATGGTATCTGCATATATTTCCAATCGTTTTCCTCGGCATTGATTCCAAATCGATTCATATCTTCTACGACCATTTGGAGAGCTTCAACTGTAGTTTTGATATCCAAATTGAGGAGTTCTTCTTCCAGTGGTATTTTTTTTCCTTCAGTCTGTTTTTCAATCTTTTGTCTTCTCTTGGAATTCTTCTTAATTCTTTCAATTCGGTTCAGCAAATTCTTTATACTGAAATTGATTACTGTTGAATAAGTAGAGATCATGGATCTTGCAGAACGAAATAAGGATTCACAGGCTTGGCTACCAAGAATGCCGATGCCTAACATTTCTGGTCTTAACTCAGAGTTTTTAATCTTCAGTATCAGTTTAATTAAAGCGTGGGCGTTCATCTCGATGCAAAGGTAACAATTACTGGTCAAAAAATTTTCACACCTTTGATATTTTTTCTATTCCATCTAGATAGAACATTATCCTCATTCTGGATATCGATTTTGCGTATTTTTTTCAATGAGGTATTTGTATCGATGCAGTTACTATCATCTATAAGCGAACTAATTCCCCACTAAATTCCTCTAACTCCCTACTAATTCCTCACTAACTCCCCACTAACTCCCCACTAAATTCCTCCAATTCCCCACTAATTCCTCACTAATTCCCTACTAATTCCTCTAATTCCCTACTAATTCCCCACTAATTCCTCTAATTTCCTACTAATTCCTCTAATTCCCTACTAATTCCCCACTAGTTCCCAGAGGTTGTACACCAAAATTCCCTTGCAAAATACCTTTCGGGGCGCTGTCTTTACAATTTAAAAAAACAACAGCGTTTTTCCAAAAAAGTTAAATGCGATGGTATATGTAATTTTAGCTGACACTAAAGAGTAATAAAAGCTTAGCAAGTCAGCGAAAACCGTATCTTAATATCTTTTTTCAAACCAAAGTTATTAGCAAAATTATATTAAATACGAAAATATAAGCCCTTAATTAACTTATTTTTCTAACTTAGGTATAACTAGCCCTCTTGATTATGACCATTCTAATAAAAACTAATAAAAAAAAGATTATTTTATTCAAAAAATCGACAATGAACCAGAATACCATAAACGAGGTGTATTATTATCTAATAATTAAGATATCAATGACGGTGGACAAGAAACGACACATCAGCGAATTCATGTTAGGCTTTGGAAAAAGTTGCTTTTAGAGGGATAGCTTAAACATCAAAACATTATTATATCAATATTGTGATAGTTTCAACAGCGTTTTTTTATCTTTTGATTGCTTTTCTAAAAATGCCTTTCTTCAATAGAAAATATGCTGCTATCCAAATGTTTATCTAATAACACGTTTATACTATTACGTCAAAAGCAACTTTTTTCCAAAGCCTATCATAATTTCACTAAGGCGTCATATCTTATTAACTGTCATTGATATCTTCACAATTGGATATTAATAGATCTGTTATTGTGGTATTCTGGCTTTCCCCTAGGAGATGCAAGTCCTTGTCGTTGGTGGGGAAGCTCCTTGTCAGGTGCCGGAGGAATCTCCTCTAACACTTCGGTCGATCTAAAAAGCATCTCACTTTCTTGTCTCTGGCTGTAGTGTCGTGGCCAGGGAATTGCATCAAGACACATAACGATGCCGGACGTGGCTATCCTGTCCGTCATACCCTCTACTGTCTGTGGTCATGTCTCACGGGTAGAATGTCATGTCTCACGGGTAGAACGGGTGGGGGGATCTTGCCTTTACCGCCCGGACCAAGAGGAGACAACCTCATCAAAAACCTACATCCTAAAATGGCTGGACCAGATCAAAGGGATGCGTGGCTAGATAGAAAAGTAGCTTTTACTTGTCTCAACCTTGGGGCACCAGGGGGCACCCCATTGTATTGACGCCTTACTTCTACATGCGGGGTTCTGTAGAAGTGGACCGATTATGCCTAGCGTCTCGTGGGAATACTATGGGATCTAGTATTAAAAACACCACCGGTGAAGCTGTAGGGAAGCCCCTAGCGACACTGGGAACATTACTTCGGGCTTTAAACTTCCTATTAAGTAGTAATTAAATAATAACTAATATTAATTTAAAAAAAAACTAATGATATCTATTCATACTCCATGTTTAGAACAATAAGTAATTGTTCTGAAGCCATCACAAAGTTTGAGCTTGAAATTGTTTCGCGAAATAGTACGAAGAATATAAACGCTTGTTAAATGAACATAAACGGTCGTTTAAATGAATATCAACGTTTTGTCAAAATTGATCGAAACGTTTCTCGAAACAGTTCCCGAGACAATTCCAATAACAATAGCAAACACTAATTCACCAAAAGACACCATAACACTTTTACTTTTGAACTGGACGCGCGTTTCGCTAACCATGTTAGCAATATCAGCAGATGGTTAAAACTGCAGCTTATTAGGGTAAATATTTTGCTGTTGTAACCCCAAAGGTTTCAACCCCCAACTGTAATCCAATAATTATAAAAAAACAAACAACCAATCAAGGCGAGACAAGCCGGTTGTTATTTCATAGTCGAATAACCGCCAATAATATCCGCCTCATCTAATAAGTTGTTTTTACATTTTCAGTATAATAATTACCATTACCAGTTACCAACACCCAACTGTAATAACAATAATTTATAAAAAATATTTATTTATATTTTTCAGGCATACCGATATGAGGATTCGCCTTGGCAGACTTCTAGAAGACGTGACGGACATCTCCTCAGGTAAATATTTTTATTCGGAATTTGTTATAAAATGAGAATAATAATAATTAACTAACAATAATATACTTCGTACAAAAAATTAACCGTTGCACGTCATCGATCACGTGTTCATTTGAGACGACGTGATCCATACGATTTTTCCAGAATGTTATACAGACTTAAATATATGGACCGATGGGGCTAAGACGCTAAAAATATGTAAAATAATTAAACTAGTTTCTACCAAACATCATTATTTTTATGTTTGACTTTTTTCGAATAACCGTTATAAGAGGGAGCTTACTCTTACTGATCATTTACTGTTCATTTCTAATTATTAGACAGGCATGTTCTGAAAGAATAATTTTTGGTAGCTAGATATTTTGTTTGAAAGCTTTAGAAGGAACAAAACACAACTCTAAACCAAAACACTAAAAAAGTAAACGCTTCTTTGGATTTTTCCAATCAAGGCGTTTAAGGCATGGGATACGATATTGCACGCTATAAAGAGTCTGAAATAAAAGCACTGTCAGATTCTGTCTAAAATGTCAAAATTCTCATAACTCCTAAATTTAATAGATAAATAAATAATATTATAAACCGTTTATTAACTAAAATATATACAACTGTTTAAAAATTATACAATTCAATGATATTGTTAATCCTTTGTAACGAAAATTTATTTTCGTTGTGCTTGCCTTCGGATTATTTTATTTTTAAACAAGGTTTTTACAGTTTGCAATTTTACTCGCATTGACACTCGCTTTTCCGTACCGTACTTTTCCCCGGTTGGATGTTGTGCGTCGGATACTAGAATTAGATAAACGTTCAATTCGTTAATCAATTATGTATAATAATTATCGTATATATAATTTAATATTATATTTATTATAATTATATTAATATATATATATATATATTATTAATTAATTAATTTAAAATATATTTTTTATCGTTGTTTAATAATTCTCAATGGTACTTAGCAAAGTTGAACTTATTATTTGGATTTTAATATGTTTTTGTTCAACGATTATAAATTAAGTTGCTCTTTTCATGGATCGTGCCATATCCATCACGAGAATCCATGGAGTACCAAATTACACCAAATGGTACGGTGTACAGAATATTGCAGACTGTAAAACACCGTAGATTGTTTTAGGCAATTCATAATACAATAGTTGCAATTTTTGGTTGCCTACCTACTGTTTGAGATTCATTTGTTTATTTTTAACAGAGGTTAAGTGAATTTTCCTTGTTATCAGTGCTAATTGATTAAGATGCAATTGTTTCCTTGATTTTTAAGGGATGTAAGGAGTCGTTAAGTATTATTTTTATTAGTAGTTGAAATTTTATCGAGAATTAGTTTAACAACGCATGACTATTTTTAATTCGATCTGGTATGTCAGGATTTTCGGGAAAAGGGGTATGGTTAATATAAAACTAAAAATTTTAAAATTTTGCCTTCTTCTCTTCTCATCTCAGCTCTGGTCATTTGGTCATTATTCCAATCTGTTTGAGATTTTATTTTTTCTTCAAGATTGCACGCTGAAGGTACGATTTTATTTGATTTTACTATCTGGTTCTATTTAACAATTTATTTCAGCCAATTATTTCATTACTTATTAGTATCAACAATATATATATATATATATATATATATATATATATATATATATATATAATATATATATATATATATATATATATATATATATATATATATATATATATATATATATATATATATATATATATATATATATATATATATATATATATATATATATATATATATATATATATATATATATATATATATATATATATATATATATATATATATATATATATATATATATATATATATATATATATATATATATATATATATATATATATATATATATATATATGCTATATATATATATATATATATATATATATATATATATATATATATATATATATAGTATGAATATATATATATATATATATATATATATATATATATATATATATATATATATATATATATAATATATAATATATATGGATACTATATATATATATATATATATATATATATATATATATATATATATATATATATATATATATATATATATATATATATATATATATATATATATATATATATATATATATATATATCTATATATATACGGAGACGCCACAACGTCCCATACAGCACATCAAATCACATTTACGATGTATTTACATTATTAGATGTCGACACAGGGTGACACAATTCCCCCGATATAAATATGCTACGTTTACACATTGTAGTTCAACACGTATGCACAAAGGTTAAACGTCCGCCTCACAATGTAGCCACAGTATAGCATTTACGTCTACACAAAGTAAGGGATACACAGTGTGCCGTAGGATACACAGTGCTTGTGTATTACGTTTAAACTATGTTTACACATTGCAGTTGTGACTACCGCGTGTATACGTATGTATTTTGCTTCGTATCTATTATTATTATCTTGTGCTAGATAAAACTACTTCTTATGAACGAATTTAGGAAATAATACAGAAGTTTTGATGCCTAACTTTTCGTTCTTTTTAAGAAATATTTATTCAATGATACAAATTATATCTTTTTAGAACGAAAATTAGGAAGGCAAAACTTTGTATTTTCCAAAAGTATCTCGATCGTAAGTTCGAGAGAAGTAATATAAAATTGTTCCATTTTGTTTTTTGTATTAAATGTACCATTTTTCTTCCATAAAATGGATTAAGTGATTAGAAAATAAACTTCTTATATTTCTTTATATCATGGAACGCAATAGCGCAAATAACACAATAATAATAATTATCTACACTGCAGAAACCAGAAGTAAGAAAACACTGTAAAAGAATAGAATTTGTATCAAAATGTATTAAAAATATAAGTACCTAGTATAACAACATACTAAAATGGTAAACACTAGTATATCGCCACAATTTGGTGGACCTCGTTTAGTCATTTTTTTCTCCTCTTTTCCCTCCAAGCAGTTGGTTTATTAGCATACTCATTCATCGAGCACTCTGTTGGACTTTGTTGTATTTTATTTCCAGATTAACAATCTCACCCTTAAATTTTATATGAAACTTATTATTGAATATTAAACATATCTGTATATTGATCCATCAATAACTTACCGAATATCAGTATAAGAAGTACTTTGAAGTGTTTAAATCTTTCTTTCTCTGGTTCATTTAGATTTTTATTATTTCCAAATTAAAAAAAAATTATATTGCAGAGCTCACTCAGCTAACCTCTTTATCATTATACGAGAATATTTGGAGTTTTCATTCATTGTCAAAATTTGGTAAATTGGGTAACGAGTAAGGGAAGAGTCGCTGCTATAATATTAGTAATACACTTAGGAAGGTGTAACAAGGTAATTAAAAACTTGTACTTACCTTAAAATCTCTTTTAAACTACACACAAACAGAACATTTATATAGAGCTTCCGAATGATAAAACAATAATGGCTGCTAAACACATACCACTCCTAGAAAGGAGAAAGGAGAGAGAACACATAAGATACACTTGGTCGGTGTATCTACGCTGAGGCTATCCGCGCATGCGCACACCTTCATTTCATGCTAGAATGTAGACACAACAGTACACTATTACAAAGTGTCTATATATAGATATTTATATTATGTGTATACGTCACATTTTACAAGGTGTGTACTATAGGCACAACTATGATGCAAGTATCACATACATATGACTTATACATTGTATGTCTCATATACCGACGTCAGATTTCATCATTTTAATAATTATTTGTTACGTTACAAAAACTCTTTAGAAACTTGAGTGCATACGGTATACAACTAGTAAACACTGATCACACAATTCTATCAATATAAACCTGCGTGTATCTCATATGTATATGTTAGAACTAGATGAACACTTAGGTTCACTTTAACATAATGTTGTTTCTCATGTGTCTCCCTTGTAGAAACGTAATTTCATTTGGACGTGCTATATGGGGTGGAACCGGAACACAGGTAGTTGTTCAATACAGAGTCAGGCTGTCCGAGAGAACCAACTGCTGCAGGAGTACGATCAGGAATATCCCAGGAAAAGCAGGCCTTTGGTAAGTAAAGCTTTTATAATTTCATTATTAACGACTATTGTTATCTTTTAAAAAACTTTACTTGCCAGAGGGTGGCTTCTCCTTACCTGGACCCTGTGGTGGTTATTTTTCTCGTTTGACTCCTCGACAGATAATATGAATAACTAATTATTAATAATTAAATTTAATAAAATTTTAATTTAATTGAATAAATTTTGAAATCTGGCTATAACCGTTTAAATCAAGTTAAGAATTAAATAGTTCGTCCAAATTATTTTAAAAATAGGTAAAGATAAAATGTATCTCCCTCTCTCTGTCCCTCTCTCTCACAAAAAAATGTAAAATCAATTTAATAAAAAAATAGCAAGACCACTACCACACTACAGGTACGATTCTATTAGATAAATTTAAAAAAACGTGGTTCCATCAGCCAATTATTTACTACTTTGCACGTGCTAAAAAAACAAGATCAAAAAAAAATGCAATACGAAGAGACGACGATTTAAATTATAAAAAAAATATTATTAATCATAAATTAATCGACAGATAAGGCGAGAAAAAAAATTAGAAAAAATCTTATCTGTCGAGGAGTCAAACGAGAAAAATAACCACCACAGGGTCCAGGTAAGGAGAAGCCACCCTCTGGCAAGTAAAGTTTTTTAAAAGATGACAATAGTCGTTAATAATGAAATTATAAAAGCTTTACTTACCAAAGGCCTGCTTTTCCTGGGATATTCCTGATCGTACTCCTGCAGCAGTTGGTTCTCTCGGACAGTCTGAGTCACTGTATTGAACAACTTAGTCTGTATTGAACAACTACCTGTGTTCCGGTTCCACGTGGTGGCGTCTCCGTATATATATATATATATATATATATATATATATATATATATATATATATATATATATATATATATATAT